CGCGCTTCCTTATTTCTTCTGTTCGCTTTCTCTGTGACAAGGCGTCCCAGCCGAGGAGACGGCAGTAGGGCGGCCAGCTCTCATATATGTACGCACCTCGGGTCCCGGGCCATTCGATTCCCTCTTTCCCCCGACTCGTTATTACCGTTCGCCCGTCCGCCAAACTCGGTCTGCTCGACCGTCCGACCGCCGCCAGCCGATAGCCACCCGTAGACCGACGTCCCACCGACTCTACTCTTCGTCAACTAGCTTATCTCTTTATCTCGCGACGATCGCTTGCGACATGCCTGAGCAAATCACCCTCTACGGCCACCCGGTAACTTCTTAACGCTCTTCCCGTTGGTTCAACACGGGCTCATGTGTCTCGCAGTACTCTCCCTACTTCCACCGCGTCGCCATCGTGCTGGAAGCGACCGGGGCCAAGCACCAGTGCTACACTGTCGACCTCGTGGACAGGTCGGTCTGGGGCAGCATCTCGCCCACGGGCAAGGTAGTCAACCTCCTCACGGTCCACTGTCGTCTTCTCACCACCCCCAGATTCCTTTCATCACCTACGGCGGCCCGAGGTCCCTCCCGACCAGCCCTCGCCCGAATCCGAAAAGATCCCCGAGTCGCTCATCATCGCGACGCTCATCGCCGAGGAGCACCCCTCCGCAGGCCTCATCCCCGCCGATCCGGTCGCGCGCGCGCGCATGCGCCTCTTCATCAACGAGTGGGAGTCCTCGGGGTCGGCCGCGCTCCGCGCCGCGCTCATGGGCACCGGCCCCGTCGACGCGATCCTCGACGTCTACGCGCGCCTGCAGGCGCGCCTGGGGGCGAGCACGAAGTTCGCGGTCGGGGACGCGCTCACGCTCGCGGACGTCGCGCTAGCGCCGTACCTGACCCGGAACGAGTACCTGATGCGGCACGAGATCGGCAAGTACCCGTTGGGCGACGGGAAGAAGTTCCTCGACCGCCTGGCGGGGCCCGAGTTCGCGCGGTTCCGCGAGTATGCGGAGGCGGTCAAGGCGCACCCGAGCGTCGAGAAGACGTATGATGAGGTCCGTGGTCCGCTTCTGCGCAGGGTGATGGTGCTGATTGTGTACGGCGCGGCTTGTAGGCCGTTTACGCGGCTATGATGGGGAGCAATCCGTACTTCAAGCGCGACTGAAGGAGCAGGATATGTGTGGCGGCGGCGGAGTTGAGCTACCGGTGGACAATAAGTATGATGGACGGCCGGAGTCGAGCTCTTCGAGCTCTTCGAGGGCTTCCAGGTCGTTCCCAAATAAGGGGGGCCTCCTCTTGTGCAACTTCAGCATTGTTGTCTTTATTGCCTGCAGGATGTGAAGACGAGGGCTCTTCAATGTCATGGTCTGGAGCGTGTTCGCCGCCAGGAGAGCTTGGGTATGGGTGAGGGGTAAGATCGAGAGGGGCTTCGCTACGTAGCGCGTGCTGTCCTGTGCTGTCGAGCTGCGCGACCGCCAAGAACTGCTTGCGCAACATCGCCGCCAAGGCATCGCATGTACATGTTTCGATCAACAAACTCACGACGGTCGCGAGATCGAAGAATCCGTGCTGGCATCGTCGTGTGGGACAAACTGAAGGAGAAGGAGGTGGCGCGTGGTGGAACTGTGCCGAAATCCGCTGGAATCTGCTCGCGTTCGGCTTTGCGCGCTGACAGACGCAACAATTTGGGATCCTGAGACATGGACGCGCGACGTCCAGAGTCAAATTGATAGACGCCGGTCTCACAGAGCCCATCGCGACGCCGCACGTGCCTGCTGAACGTTGAACTGTATCCTCCTCCCCCACAAATGCCCCAAGCACTCATGCTCGCTCCCGACGTATGGAGCCCTGGAGACAGTGGGTGCTTCCTCATCGCACACTCTCAGCACCTCGCTCACCGCACTCGAACTTCCCTCTCGCAGAACGCTGGAGTGACGCGCGCTGTCTTCCCAGCGGCCAGCGGCCAGGGCCCAGGATGGTGCGCACAGTAGTGTGAAATGTAGAACCTTTGGTTGTTAACAGGAAGTAGTTCACACGGTTTATAACCGGTTATAAACAGGTTATAAACTTGCCTGTTAAGAAGGGGTCCAAGGCCGTCCTGTGTAGAACCTCGGCACCCTGTTAAGAACCCATCGGGTGGGTTGGTTCAGTGAATATCATATGTGTGAAATGCGACAGAATTATTCTGCACGTTCCAACGCTTCTCAGCCGAAGGGATCCCGGTAGGCCCAGAGGCACAGTCCATAGTGTTTTGCGGCTCAGGAGGGTTAAGCGCCCTTGCGCTTATCCGCTGTTGCTCTGCGCGAGGTGAGGGACAGATCTGGAAAGAATTAAGGTAATAACCTAAACATATGCAGCACGCACAGCACGAGTAATTATCTGCGAAAACCGAAGCCGAGCAACGAGAGCATACAAAGCCGAGCCAGAATACGAAGTAGGGACACAAGAAATGCGGCTAGGTGGAAGGGCTTAGAGGCTCGAGCGAGTGTAATACTTAAGCAGAAACAGACCGAGGCAGAAAGAGCCAAAACAGGGGCCGGTACATGGGTAGTGGAGACAGGGATAGGAAATATAAGGAAAATAGAACGAAAGATAATACGAGACGTACGAGAAGGGATACATGATGGTGCACTCACAAGGCGCGGAGAGTGTCGTGCTGCGGATCATGAGAGGGCCGCATGCGTCGTGTCTTGGAGAGTATGCTGCTGTGTCTGTACTGGGGTGCTCGCGGGTGGATCACGATAGGTGCGCGAGGCAGAATGGACGAGGCGTGCCGCGTGCGAGGACGAGATGGGTAAGGGTTGGGCAGATGAGCGGATGAGCATGGGCGCTAGCGTGGTCGAAGATGTCGGACTCGTGCACCGTAGAGCGGCAGCACGTGTGTATCAGCAGTAGACGTGATCGCTTGCCTGAGCAATGGGAAATGCCTCAAAGCATACGTCTATCCCATTGACATCAGAGAAGTCGAAAAAAGCCACGAAGTATAGCGGCGTAAAGTGCGCAATATTGCGGCCAACCCATGGCTCATCCAATCCAAGTCCTTTCCATCTTCGATGCCGGCTTCCCCCAGTCTCTCCGGACAGGATATCTCAAAACGAAGCTGAAAAAGCTATGTATCACCCCAAGTCCCCAAAGAAGCAATTTCCCAGCGAGTCCAGGAGGCACAGAGTGATAGTTTGCTCACCAGAGGAAGCTCCTGGCGACAGTGGACACGACAAAATGGAAACAGAAGGCTACAACAACAAAGTATTCAACGCACAGGTCAGCCTCTGAGTCGAAGACTCACATACTGACGCCATTTGAGGATCCTGGCACCCTACCACACTGGATGCTCACTGTTGACCCGATGACTTGGTAGACGAGTCCGACCACATGGCTGATGTCTTAATAAGTATGCGAAGGGCGAATATCCGTTCAAACAAGCCGCTCGGCGCTGAAGGTCGACCTGACTCAGCGGCATCCCATTCATGCGTGGTGGATGGACATGAAGGCGGCCGCACGTGCCAGTGACATCTTCTTTGAATGGCCTTCTTCCGACTGTGTCCAAACCCTGTCGGTAGCAAGGCTGACCCTGACGAAGAGAGGGATATCTTGTCAGATGGCAGGTTTTTGGCAGAGCTGTTCTCTGATCATCCCGAGAAATCTTCGACAGGTGGTGTGGAGAAGGAGACTGCTGAGGACACCGTAGGACGACAAATTTCGGCTTCTAGATATGATGACATCGATGTACAACGTGATAAGCGCCAGCCCCTACTCGCTGTGATAAACCCCGGTTATAAACCGGTTATGAACCCATGTGTGAAACCCTCCGACTAGCCGCCCGGTTTAAAAACCGTCTTGTTAACTTGCCCGGAGGTTCTACACTTCACACTACCCCACAGGAACCGAGCCCGGCCGGTCGTCCACATCAGACACTGCGAACCTCGACGCTCAGGTACTTGCAAGGACTACATGCTCAACGTTACGGTCAGCCATGATGGCAAGTGGATCACCTAACGCGCGCGGGGACGCGAACACGACGAGCGAACACAAGTGCGCCCGCCCTCGCTGTGGTTCTGACGAGTGCGGCGACGCCTCCCAAGTGGTCTCCGTTCGCCTCAGCCCGTCCTCGACACGGATATATACGATGCCACACGACGTCCGCCAGGCTCATCTCGGTTTACATCCGTTGTGCATGCTGTGTACCGATCCTACGTATACATCCATCCGTTCCGTGTGCTCTCGGTGCGGGGCGTCGGAGGTACGGCCTCGACGTTTACCACGCTGCAACGTGCTTTTCATTTCCTGCTTCTCGTCCCCAGCTCGTCCTCCACACTGGGCACCGACGATCAATCCCGACGCCTCATAACTTCCCTCTCCCCCCGCCTCCCCTTCCCTCTCCTCTGCCCCCTCCGTCCGTCGCCGATCCCCTCTCCGCCATGTACTACGCCGGCCCCAGGCGCCCGATGAACGTCTACTACCCCCGCCCCGTTTCCCCCGTCATCTCCGTCTCCCCCATGTACAGCCCGGGCAGCCACGCCGGCAGCTACTACGACCATTGTCCGTATCCGCTTTCCGCCCGACCGACTCCCATCTGACCATCGCCCTCGCCAGCGCCCGAGATGCGGATGGTGCCCGTCTACCGCCAGTACTCCCAGCCGATGCCCCAGCCCGCGATGGTCTACCACACGCCGCCGCTCTACCACAACCGCACGCTCCGGCCGTACGGCGCTCGTGCTGCGACGGCCTTTGCTGCGACCGGTGCTGCGACGAGTGTTGCGGGTGCGTCCGTCGTCGCCGTGCTCGCGCTCGTCCCAGACGCTCACCGTGCGCCAGACCACAGTGCCCGTGTTGCTAGCGAGCGGTGGGATATTCTTGTCGTCAGCGTGTGCGTTCATACGCAGTCTCGCCGCCGTCCGTCCCGGGCTTCCGTCCTCGTTCCCTCCTGTATTCTTACTCTTTTCGTTCGTCAAGGCGCGCAAGCATCTATTCGTCCCATCCGCATGAGCATACACACCACGTCCCCATCTCGCCTCTCACAGCGCGCACCCCGACAGCAGCGCCTGCACGCCCTCCGCGACCTTGAGCGGGTCGATCGCGTACTGCTCTCCCTCCCCCGTCCCCGCCGCCTCGCTTGCCTCCTCCACGCGCAGCGGCACCACGCTGTTCCCCACCACCGGCCGCAGCATCTCCCAGAACTCCGACAGGTCCGCCTCCGCGTCCCCAAGCCCCACGCCCGACCCGGCGTCGTACAGCTCCGGGTTGGCGAACATCGCCGACTGGAAGTCGGCGTCGAGCATGTTCCCGAACGGCCCCATCGCCATGTCGAACAACAGCTCCTCGTCCGCGCCGCCTGCGGTCGGTGTGGTCGTCGCGCACTCCCCCTCGCCCGCCGGCTGGGACGCCGCGGGGAGCGTCTGCGTGAACGCCGCGAGGAACTCCGAGTACGCCACCGGGTCCAACAGCTCCTGTCCGTCCGTGGAGGCGGACACAGCCGGCGCACCGTCAGCGAACAGGTCCGAGCCCTGCGAGAAGAGGAGGAGGAACTCGTCGTCCGAGTTCGAGCTCGCCCTTGGCGGCCCCGGTGCGGGCAGCCCGTCCAGACGCATTGTGGACTCCACCTCGATCTCGTCCCCGGGCGGGAGCTCGTAGTCCGTCTCCTGTGCCGAGTCCCAGTCCGCGTCCGACGGCGTCAGGATCGGGCTCGAGGGCGGCAGCGGCGACGACCGCGCGAGGCTCGTC